TCTGAGGCCTGTCACAGAGCTTCCCTCCTGTCCAGCAGTCCCTTCCCCACCTGTGGAGGCCCTCCCTGCGATTCCTACTTACAGACTCTGCCAAATGAAGCATAAACTTAACTACATCACCCCCCTGACAGGACAGGGGAGGGACCGGGGCAGCACACTGGGCTGCTCAGTCCCCCAATCTAACCGCTGGCGGGGGTCATTTCAATTACAGACACCAGAGTGTGCGGGGGCCTGGCTGCTCATAAGAGCCTCCATGCTGTTGCTCCGCTAATTACGAAGCTCGTACCGCCTCCCTCGGCAGGTAAATCACAGGCTGAGAGGCTCAGGCTGCTGAGATGCAGTGTGAGCCAGGGATGGGGCAGGGAGGTGCCCGGACTCGCAGGGAGGGAGGCACAGCCTTCCTGGAGGGAACATAGAACCGAGGCCTCTGCCCCGAGGTGACCATCCACCGTCCGGGAACTGGTGGAGAAACTCCTTACCTGCACACCCAAGACCTGGAGTTTTTAGACACCGCAGGGCCGGGCCGCAGGGCAGCCTCAGCGCTGTAAGCTCCAGCCCTTGCTCCTGGCCTCTCCTGTGCATGCGTAGGTCCTTGAGGAGTGAGAGGACCTGGGAGCCCAGTGCGGGGGGGTGGGGGGGTCTATCTGTCGGGCGGTCTCATGCTGGCGCTCTCTCATTGGCTTCCTGGTCTGACCTGTCCAGGCTTAACGCCAGACCCCGCAGATGGTTGGGTCCTGGACATGGGAGGGGCTAGGGCTCAGCTCCTTGCCCACTAAAGCTCCTCTCCTCTGCACAGCCCGGAGGAGACAGGGTGTCTGGGGGGAGAGCGAGACACTCTGCCGCCGAATGAATGGCCACACAAAAGGCTGCAAAGGCCCCAAGAAACCGAGCAGCACCGGCAGTTGTTCTGAGACGCGACGACGAGCGGAGGCTGCCTGTCTAGCCGGCGGCTGTGCTTAACCACCTCTGTTCCAGACGCCAGCGTCCCCAGAATCGGAGTGTGGTTTCTTGGTGAGTGCGGAAACTACCTTCGGTTCTGGGAAACAGCAGATGGCAGGAGCACGCACAGCTGGGAAAATCCCATTTTTGCTCTGTTCCTCAGTTTCCTTCCCCCATGAAATAGGCAGCATGAGATTTATAAACACTTGGAGGGGCTGAGCTAAGGCTGCTCTGTAAATACGGGCTCCTGGCACCCCATCTTCCTCCCATGGTGAGGGACGCCATCCCGGGAGGAGGTCCTTCATGCCCCTTGTCTTCTTTTTAAATATATATATTGATTTAAGAGAGAAAGGGAAGAGAGAGAGATAGGAACATCAATGATGAGAGAGAATCATTGATAAGCGGCCTCCTGCACGCCCCACACTGGGGATCAAGCCCACAACCCAGGCATGTGCCCTGCCTGGGACTTGAACCGTGACTTCCTGGTTCATAGTCGATGCTCAACCACTGAGCCACGCCGACCAGGTGCCACTTGTTAGTAATGGATTTGCTCTGGATGTAGAGCTGGCCCTGGGCCTCCTTGCCATGTTGAGATCAGTATCACTTGGCACATGAGCAGAGGAGGCCACACTGGAGCCCAGCATATCGGCCAGTCTTCATTCCTAAAGGGCTGCTTCTTATGGGCTGATGTAAAAAACTTGAGAGATGTTCTTTTTTAAAAAATATTTTTAATTTTGTGTAGAGGAAGAGGAGAGAGAGAGAGAGAGAGAGAGAGAGAGAGAGAGAGAGAGAGAGACCCGCTACCTCCTGCACGTCCCCTACTGGGGATGGATCCCAAAACCCGGACATGTGCTCCCCACCAGGATTCAAACCAGTGACCTCTCAGTGCATGGGACGATGATCAACCAACTGAGCCACACCAGCCAGGTCTTGAAAGACATTCTCTGGGAAGAGAGCAAGGAAGGAGCTGCAATGGAAGTGGGATAGAAAGTCCCTTTGGCAGCTCCTCCCCTCCCAAGTCCCCTACAAGGAGGCATGCGATGGCTTCAGCCTTGACCTTGGGATCCTGGAATAAAGCACTTTGGAAGTACCAGCGACAATAACTGGATTCTGATAGAGGTGGCTGGAATGGGAGCCCACACCAAAGACTCAAAACTGGAACCCATCTGCTCATAGCAAGCAGGTATTTTTATTTTGCGGTATATTATTTACTCTTCAAAGTGCTGTTGAGTACATTGCTTCATTCTGATCTTAACAATTCTGCGATGTGGGCAGAGTAAGTACAAGCAGCCCCAATGTCAAATACTGTAGTTAAGGTGAAGCTCTGAGAAGTTAAGCTCGAGGTCCCCCGTAGACAGTGGTGGCGCCGGGACGTAAACCAGGTGCTTTCTCCAAGACACGCTGGAAAGGAAGGAGACTCCATAGCGGGGAGTGCGCCACCGGCTTTTTCCTCCTCCAGCAACGGAGGAAGTGAAGGGGGATTGAGGGATCAACTTAGAGGCTCACTGAGCAGGTCGAGGCAGAGGAAGCCAGTGGTACAAAGTAGGAAGTGGGGAGGGAGACAGGTGGAGGCTTGCATGGACACTTCCTGTTCACAAACTTCTTATGCTCCTCATTTCATTAACAGCAGCAGTGGAATTTCATGGGCAATTGGCATTGAGCACTAACTGGGAGGTAATGAGAGAGAGAGGATGCAGGTAAAGGCTGTTTGAATTTAAATTCTTTTTCTTTGGGGGCAGGAGGAAGGAGGGAGGCAGATTTTTTTAAAGGCAATTTGAGTGCTGGAAAAGTTTTTAGCAAACAGCTTTGGACTTTTGCATCCTCTGTGGCAGCGTTAGGAGTGATGACTGTCATCCAGCCCACCGTGCTCTCCTACCCACCAACTCCCGGTGGCTGCCTTGGAGTGAGGGACGCTGAGGGACTGGGTGTTGGACCTTAGGCAGATGCTGCCCCTCAGACTTGGGAAGACACACTGGGAATATGTGCACCATCAATGAGTTAGAACGAGTTGCTCTGTAATCGTTATTGCAGAATTGCCATAAGCAAAACTCGGTATGGACCTGGGCAGAGATGAGGGATAAACTAGAAATAGAAAACAGGATTACTGCCCTAGGAATGTGTGATCTATTTGACAAGTGACGTACACACACACACACACACACACATCCACAAAACACTCAAAGGGAGGAGGATAAAGGGTAATGTAAGACTAAAGATAGAGACGAGGGCAGGGTCATGAGGTGACAAAGTGACAACGGTTGGGGGAAGGAGGCTGCGGTGCGCAGGACTCTCAGTGACACTCAGGTTAGTGAACGGAAGGGAGAGGCTTAGATGGAAGTAAGGCTCCCCGGGAAGGTGGCCAGCAGGCCCGCTTGGCTGACCTGTCATCGGAAGCAATGAGAAATGAAGAGAGTCAAGCGTAAGGGGAGGGGAATTTTGTGGAAGGCTTGAATTCTAATCTTCGGATTCAGGTTATGAAGCCACTGGAACTGCCACAAAATAGGCGAATCAATGCAGATTTGGCTACGAAAGAGTCTGAGCCAGAAGTGGAGTGGGTACCCAGGTACCCAGGTGCCAGGTGATCAGGGCTCCTTTGTTCAGGACGAGGAGCTGTGGGCACAGATAGGAAGCTAAGGAGCCATCGGGGTGGTGATGGTTAACTTTATGTGTCAACTTAGCCAGGCCATAGTACCATTCTAGTTGTTCCTGTGAAGTTATTTATTTAGATGGGGTTAAAATTTAAGTCAGTAGAATTTGAATAAAACTGATTATCCTCAAGAAAGTAAGTGGGCCTCATCTAATCATTTGAAGGCCTTAATAGGAAAAGACAGACCTACCCCGAGAGGAAACCCTGCCTTTAGACTCAGACTACAACTCTCCCCGAGTCTCAAGCCTGCCAGCCTCCATAATCACGTCAGAGTTATGGGCTGAATTGTGTCTCCCCCAAATGTATATGTTATATCTTACAAAATGACTATATTTGGATATAGGGCCTTTTAAAAGGTAACTAAAGTTAAATGAGGTCATTAGGACATGAGGTCAAATAGGTCATGAGGACACATATGAATGTGTCCTTATAAGAAGAGGAAGTTTGGACAGACACACACAGAGAAAAGACCACATGAGGATACATGGAGAAGACGGCCATCTACAAGCCAAGCAGAAAGCCCTCAGAAGAAACCAACTCCGCCAGCACTTTGATCTTGAACTTCCAGCCTCCAGAACTGTGAGAACATAAATCTTGGTTTAAGCCACCCAGCCTGTGGCGTTTTGTTATGGCGGCCCACGCAGACCGAAACAGGATAGATGATAAATTCCTTGAACCCAAGGGCCATGCCTTGAGCCTGTCCCCCAGCTCAGTGCCTTGCACGTGGTGTGTGCTGGCTGTGTGGACCTAGACTGCCCTGGAAGCCTTGGCACCTGGCTTCCCTCCAGCAGTGATGCACTCAGCAGAGGCAGCAGAGGAAGACGGACTCACAGTGGAACAAGAGCTTCAGGATCCAGGCATGGTGGAGGGGCTCGGGCTGCTGCGATGGAGGGTGAGCCAGGGAACAGGGCGGGGAGATGTCTGGACTTACAGGGAACTGAAGGTCGATGCAAGGTTGACCTCAGGAATCCAGTCAGGGGAAGGATGAGCTGTGACTAACTTGTTTTGTATTTTCTGGCGTGCTTAACACAATGCCTAGAATTTATTTGACACCCAATAAAGGTTTTGTTGAGTGACTAAATAAGTGACCAAGACAGGGCTGGGAGATGGAAGGATCTTACACTTAAATAAACCTGCTGAAACATACATGCATGCTGGATGTACTTAGGGATTTTCTGAAAGAGATTGCTAACTTTCCCTGTGTGCCCCAAACTGTTTATGCATTTTCATCATGACTACATTACCCCTGGGTCATTTACTCTCTCATTAGGTGTGCAGACCTGGACTGAATGAAAAGAGGCAACAGGGGCTGGAGAGCTTCTAACCCACCATTCCTCTCCTCGAATCTCCCCACAGAATTTTCAGCCTCCACCTGCTGCGAGAGCACATTGATGGAGACCAGCCAAACCCGTCTTCACAGGCGGCTCCACAGTGCCCAGAGGGAGCACAACGTGATGGCGTAGAGCCCCAACATCACAAGGTAGCCTTGAAAGAGCAGTCGGTCAACGCGTTCCAGGAGGGCCAGCCACCCGACCTCCTGCTGGGCCGCCTGGTCCTGGGCTTGGAAGTAGTTGCTGATGGACTGAAGCTGGGACAAGACTTCCTTCAGGGTCCCTGAGGGGGCCTGGTGCTCTCGACAGACAGGGGACTCTGCGTGAGAGAGGAGAACACCCAGTCAACCAGGGACGGCCGAGGCCCCGTGGACTTCCCACTGAGGCTCATGGCCCCACCCTTCAAGAAGGGTTGTAGGCGAAACTGGGCAGTGGGCTGAGTTGGGGTTGGGGACTCTCTTCCCACCTGCTGAGGGGTTCAGAATGAAGAAAAAACCCTTTAAGTTTTTACATAGAACTAATATCAATATTACTAATAATTATAATAACTAGAAGCAGCTACCATTTCCTTACCACTGCTGTTTGCTAGGCACCAGACTGTGTTTCCTATGTTTTGTCTTAGTCAATCCTCACAGCATCTCTAGGGCTGGGTATTCTTATCTCCGTTTTTATAGACAAGGAGCCCCAGGTTCCTAGAGATGAAATTGCTGAAGGGAGCCCCGGAGAGCATAACTATGTGGGGTGTCCAGGCTAGACCCATCCAGGCGGCTTTCTGAGCTGGGGCCAGCCCATGTTGACCCAGGCAGAGCTTTGTGGCAGAGATGATTTTTAAACCTGTGCACATTAAGCAACTGCAATCCAAAGCTACACCTACACAGTGTGTGTGTGTGTGTGTGTGTGTGTGTGTGCGCGCGCGCGCGCCTGTGCACATGGCACTAGGAAATAAAACAAGCTAAGGGAATTGAGGACCTGACCTCCAAGCTGAAATGAAACTTTCTGGGAAGCCAGCAGGAGTTAGTGGCCTTCAGTACCCAGAAAGGCCATGTAAAATGCAGCAAAGAGGCCGACAAGCAGATGTTTCAGACTTTTCACGCAGCCCGGTGCTCCATCAGTGGGAACGGGTGCTGAGGGTAGGGACCTCAACGCTTCTCACAAACCTGTTACCCCAACAAGCTGGGTCCTGCGATCCATTAGAAGCCCATCAGCATCAGTGTCCCCTCCAAGGCCTAAGAGGGGCCGCTCCTGCCCGCTGTGCTGCTGATCGTGAAGGAATTTGACCAACAGGATGGATTTAGACAAGCTGAGAACCAAGAAGGCCATGCAGACGGTGAAGAAGACGCCTGGGGGAAGGAACCAGGAGGTGGAGTTAGCTGGAGTCTCGGGGGCCTCTCCCTCCCCAGATCTGAAACGCAACAGCAAATCTTTGCCAGGAGTCATGCAAGACAAATGTCTGGTGAACCCAGGCTGCTTACCGATCAGAGGGGTGCGCACTGCGCCCTGTGGCATCTCGTCAGACATGTTGACCCTGAAAACGGTGTAGCCCACCAGCAAGCTGGTCTTGAAGATAATCCTGGCATGGCAGGTGGGGGGGATGTAGAAACTCCCCAGGTCCACAAGCATGAGGAAGATGCTGGGAATCAGCAGACTCACCACATAGACCAGTGGGCGCCTGCGAATCACCACCTGGACAGGGACAAGAAATCTGTTGAAAAGAGGACCTAAACCAGACGTGGGCAAACTACGACCCGCGGGCCGGATCCGGCCCGTTTGAAATGAATAAAACTATTGAAAAAAAAAGATCGTCCCCTTTTATGTAATGATGTTTACTTTGAATTTATATTAGTTCACACAAACACTCCATGCTTTTGTTCCGGCCCTCCAGTCCAGTTTAAGACGCCATTGTGGCCCTCGAGTCAAAAAGTTTGCCCACTCCTGGCTAAGCTGATGAACTAACATTTGGCCAAAACCAAAGCCAAGAAGTCCTAAATAGGACTTAGAAATAGGAGACTATTTTGTGGTTTAGAACCACCTGCTGTTTGCTAGGCACTGGACTAAGTGTTTCCTATGTTTTAATCTTAGTCAATCCTCACAGCAGCTCTAGGGCTGAGTATTATTATCTCTGTTTTACAGACAAGGAAACCAAGATTCCTAGAGACGAAATTGCTTGTGTAAGCTCACAAAGCTGGTCAGTGAGAAACCGTTTAAAACCAGGGCTTACACTAAAATCTTTCCTCTTAAACCATGTGTGATGCAACATATTGTGTGTATGGGGTCTAATCTGCCTTCTTACTTGGAATGCGAGCATCTTAGCACCTGTGAGTGTATCTGTCGGAGTCTGGGCAGGAACAGAGCATAACTGATTTGGGAAATCTGAGGCGGGCTTAATAAAGAGATGGTTTACAGGGTGCGGGCAGGGCACAGGAGAGCCACCGGAAGGAGGGCAGTGTCCCATGGGTTGGGGGCACTGGTGAGCTGTTCCATCCCTCAGGCCTGAAGGGACCTGAGAGAAGCTGTGGGGATAGGACTGCGACAGTTGTGCCTTCCTCTTAGAGACAAAGCCAGCCTGGCTGCGACCCCACAGAAAGAGAATGGAGAGACAAGCACCCACTCACTCCCATCTTCTGCCTCTGCCCCTATTGGCCAAACATGGCCAGGGCTCCCGTCCCTGCAGGCCACAGGAGCAGGGGCAGGAGGGGACCCGCCACAGGCCGACTGAAGAGGCCCAGCGAGGCCTGCAGCGGGGCTGGCATGCAGGGTGCTGAGTGGGTCTTGTAGCTGGAAATCTGAGTCTCATAAAATCACTATGATTGTTGTTGCCATTTTTTTCGTTTCTCTGGGATGATGACAGGAATTGTCTTTAATAAACACAAACTAGTCTCCTCCCTTGGGAGAAACCAGGGAATGACAGGGCTGCTTTCCTCACCAGACGATGGACCCTCTGAGGGTGAAAACAGCAACCTGTTAAATCTCCCACAGAGCCTAAAGGAACGCCTATTTTGATGCGGGTATTCCGTGAGTGCTTGCTGATCAAATGAATGGTTTGGGACTTTACTGTTGGGGTTTGGGGGGAAAAAAACAATGTCTGCAATTTCCCCTTTCTCTGATTCTCAAAGCAATAGAAGGTTTTCCACGTGTCAGAGGGTGTGCTTGGTGGGTGGTCTTAGGCACATGGTGTGGTTTATTTAATCCTCGCTGTGAGCTTGCTGGCAGGTAACCTAATAGGCCTCTTTATAGATTTTAACAAATGAAGCTCGGCCCCTCAGGGAGGTGAGTTGGTGGCAGAGCTGGGAAGAGGCCCGATGTCTCCCAATTCCGAGCCCAGGGCTCTTTTTCATACAGTGTAGCTACAACTCTTGATCTGGCCAGACCTGTGAGTTGAGTTCAGAGTTCTTCTCCCCCCTCTCTGCCTCCTGTTCTGGATGAGAACCGCAGAGAAATAAGCCGAGACAGAGGCCAGGGAGGGCGCAGACAGGGGCAGGGCAAGAGCTTGCCTGGGCGAGGCCAGACAGCACCTTGCTGATGGGAGCGGGGAACCCCCACCCCCCATTGGGTCTGAGAGCATATTCCGTCTCAGTGGTGCTTGACAGGCCCGAGTGTTTGGCGGATTGCAGTCTGGCTGTTGTCTTTCACATTAAACATAATTGGCTGCAGATACCTAAACCAGAGCAACACTCACTGCTTTGCAATAATTTGGTTAAAACACATTTGTACCAAAGTGCAATCAACAGCAAAACAACAACAAAATGAACTGTCGTCAACCTGCACCCCCCTAGCTCCCGTCATCACGCTGCGCTTGACTGCGGTTAGATGGGGCAGTGAGCGGGGTGCCCAGTGGGCAGAGTCCATGGGGTCCTGGAGTGTGGGCCAAGGCTGGCCCACTGGTGATCTGGACATATGGGTAGGAGGTGACCAAGCCTGCTGTCTCTGGTGGGTAGAAGCAGAAGACCCCCTAGAGCAGCGGTTCTCAACCGGTGGGTCGCGACCCCTTTGGCGGTCGAACGACCCTTTCACAGGGGTCGCCTAAGACCATCCTGCATATCAGATATTTACATGACAATTCATAACAGTAGCAACATTACAGTTATGAAGTAGCAACGAAAATTAGTACATGAAAGGTTAAAGGGTCTTCTTGGAGAGGAAGGAGTGATTTCAGAGAAGAAGGGAGAGGGAGCAAGATATAGAAACATTAATGATGAGAGAGAATCATTGGTTGGCTGCCTCCTGCATGTCCCACCCACACTGGGGTTAGAGCCCCACAACCCCAGCATGTGCCCTGACCGGGAATTGAACCATGACCTCCGGGTTCATAGGTCAGTGCTCAACCACTGAGCAACACCAGCCGGGCTGCTTTCCCTTTCTAAAAGAGCTGCTTACTGTAGCCTTGCTGAACATCTTGGGTGCAGTTTGATTACCGTAGAACTCTTTCAGTGGAGTTCCTGTGTAAAAGCAGGACCTCAGATGACTGCTCTCGAGCCAGAGGCGGCTGCAGGGAATGAGGGTAAACAAGTGCCAGACCCAAGGATAGCAGCGTGGCTCCTCCGGCCCCTGGTTCCAGGAAGGTGCAGCTGCCGGGGAGAGCTGTGGCAAGAGCTAAGAGGTCGGGAGGCAGGCCCGCTCCCGGGACACGGAGCCCGTGAAGTTTGTTAATGCTCTGCTGGTGCCATTTTGAAATTGGTAGTAATTTTTGAACAAGGGGCCCTGCCTTTTCACTTTGCACTAAGGCCACACAAATTCTGCAGCCAGTCCTGTCGGGAGGGTATTCCTCTCTGGGCCAACAGTAGCTGAAAGCAGAAGGAAAACGGTGGGCACAGACAGAGACAGCGATGATGTAACATACAGCAGAAACCGCTCCTGTCTGTTTGGCTTATAAAATTGTGAATCTAGTCAGGCCCTCCAAAACGACCTCATCCACCTTCCTACCTTTAGCAAAGGATGCTCCTGTTCCGAAGACAGACAAGACAGTGCCTATAGTTTGGTTTTGCTTCAAGAGCAAAGGAGCCGCCTTTTCCTCTAGGTTGGTTTAGGGGCAATGTTACCTATGTACTAGGCTAATTTTCTCTACTAGCCGAGAATAGCCTAAAAAATATTAATCTTATCACCCAGTTTTCAGAAATGTTTTGTTTTTTTATCTCTTTTGATCCTCAAAGCCCTTTATTCCCTTGTTCAAGAGACATTAATTGAGCATAAACAGTGTCAGACTCTATCCTAAATATTGGAGTCAGGACTGTTAATAGGAAACTTCCCCATCTTATGGGGTCAGGAACCAGACTCTGGCGGTTAGATGTTTCCCAAGTCTACAGAGGGAGAGGAATGGACCATGCCCAGAGTCTGTGCCTGCTTTGGATGGTGAGATTTGGGTTCTTTTGAGTTTATATTAAGATGATATTTTGGTCTTAGAGTTGGAGCAGGAGTGGGGTAAGATGTTTGGGGGTGCTGGGACAGGGTGAATGTATTTTGGGACAGACACAAATTTTCAGGAGCCAGAGGGTGACAGACTGCAGTGGGTTGAATAATGAGTCCAAGAATCCATGCCCTCCTGGAAATTCATCAAGTCACCGAACTTGGAAACGGTAATTAGTTAAGAAGAGGTCGCACTGGGGAAGATGCGCCCTTCATCCAATATGACTAGTGTCCTTTTACGAAGAAGAGACACAAAAAGGAGAAGGCCATGTCAAGATGAAGGCAGAGATTTGAGTGCTACATCTGTGAGCCAAGGAATGCTGAAGGCTGCCGGCAACAGCAGAAACCAGGAGAGAGGCACGGGACCGATTCTCCCTTGGAGCCCAGAAGGAACCAACCCTGCTGGCACCTTGATTTCCGGCTCTGGCTTCCAGAACTATGAGACGAATCAGCTCTGTTGTTTTAAGTCACATAGTTTGTGGTACTTTGTTATGGCAACTCTAGGAAACTAATACAGGTGACTTGCCCAGTAACACACAGTGCACAGATGCCAAATATACTGGAATATACTGCATCATGTTTAATTGTATCGTCATCATAGTTTCCCAATATACTGCATCATGTTTAATTGTATCGTCATCACATAGGACTAGGCATAGTTTCCCGTGTTAGATTGCCTGGGTTCAAGCCCAGGCTCCACTAGTCACCCCATTACCTTGGTAAATTACTTAACTTCTCTGCAGGCCAGCTCATCCATTTGTAAAAACCTATCTCATAGAGGTGTGGGGGTTACATGTACAAAGTCGTGAACCGGCGCCTGACACAGAGGAGATGCTCACTCGGTGGTTATTGTGAGTATGTCTCCCTGGGCGATTGTGCGGTCTATGACAGGTCCCGGGAGCCTTCTTTTATTCATGTTTGTGTCCCCGGTGCTTACCATTGAGCCTGGCACAGAGAAGAGCTCAAAAGATGTTTGTTGAGTTGCATTGTAGTCAGTTAATAATTCTACGTTTAGTTCAATGGGGTGGGATCCTGGGAGTAGCCCAAACGGGGGCTCTGCAGCTGAGGTCAGCCCTCCGAGGGTTGCCTCTCCTCGGGTACACCAGAGGCAACAGCCCTGCTAATTCTGGGGGAAGGTACGTCACCAGCTCAGTGAGACGCTGCTCTCTGCGGAGCTGCCCCTACCTAGAGCCCATCATTTCTAATGGACTAAGGGAGCCGGTGCCTTTAAATTTCACAGAAAGGGAAGGAAAAGCACTTTAGTTTCAGTCTGTGTTCTCCATTAGACACCCTTCAGGTGTTAGCAATATTATGCCACAATTTCATTATCCATTAAAGCCAGGTAATAATAAGTACACAAAGGTATTTGGAGCCTATTGTTGTTAATGAAAGAGATCAATCTAATTCAGAATGTGTGTGTGGAGAGCTCCTTGGAGATGGAATAGGCCCCAAGGTTAGCCTCTAATTGCCTCGGTGATGGTAGACCCCACCAGCACTCAATTTTGCATGACCGTCTTTATGACATAGTTGGAATTTTGACGCCCAGGCTCAGGCTTCATACCGAAGCCTGTTTTCCTCTTCTCCCAAGCCCCTCTCCACATTCCTAATTCAGAAAGGATGGGAAAGTGGCTCCAGCTAAGTAAGATCCTTCCACCGAGTGGGAGTTTCTCAAACCTGGACCATGGCTCAGTGGGATTAGCAGAGTCTGTGATTCTGGGATTACCTGAGTGACCCTGGAAAGACTTCCAGGGCTCTAAATTCATTCTCTCTCTTTCTCTCTCTCTCTCTCTTCCTCCCTGTCTCCATCCCCATCTCTCCCACTCTTGAACTGGTGGTGCTCAAAAGGATCTTCTATCAACTTTATGAGCTGCATTCAATAGATACCTGAACAAAACAACTTTATCCTAAACGAGAAAAGAAAATCATGTCAGGAAAAGAAGACGAGGCACCTTTCTTCTCCAATGGCCCCCTGCATTTTCCTGGACACCCCCGGTGGACCCCCATTCCTGCCTGAATGAGCATTTACTCAGTGTGCGGCTCTGTGGTTGGACTCCCTTTCGTTCCCACCGTGTCCACCCTCTTCTATCCAACGTGGGTTCTTAAATTTTATTCCTACCTCCTCCCCTTCTACCCTCATTCTTTAGAAAACAAAACCAAAAGGCCACCATACCGACACCGAACGCTGGCCCTGCTGTTTCTGGGAGCTAGCACCTCTGAGGGGGTGTTGGAAGCAACCTGCCCTCCGGTGGCTGCTGGCTCCGGCGCCAGCTGCTCACAGACATCCTCGTAAGCAGGGGGGCTGTGCTCTGGGCCCCCCGGGGCTGCAGCGTCACCCCAGGCTGCGGCAGAACGTGCCCCAGGGCTGGCACATATGATTGTACATTCGCTGGAACTAGCGGGGCAGCCAGAACATTGGATTTGGTTTCGATGGCAACAGTGCACCTCAGGCCTAGGTGACAACGTATTTAGAACAGATCACTGTAGCTCCTGCCTGCCCCATCTGTCCCTGATCCCCTCCTGTCCCAGCCTGGACTGGGACACAGCAGGTGATCAGACTCAGAGGGTGGCGACTCTGCTGCCAGGACCCCAGCAGCCCAATGTCTGAATGGAACTGGGCTCCCAATGTCTTGTCATTGGCCACGGGCTGCTGAAGGACACGTGCCTCGGCTGCTACATTCAGAGTAGGATGCATGGTAGGAAGTCAGGCCACCTGAGCCCAGCCACAGTGCACAGAGCAGAAATGGGGAGGCAGGGGCCTGGCAGAGGCCAGCGGAGACAGAATTGGGATAGTCACCAAATCTCCTTTAAGCTCCTGAGTCTAGCTCCCTGCCCAACCACAGATCACTGTGCGTCTACTCAGGATTCTTGCTCTAGTCTGTTCTGGAGGGCCAGGGTGGCCGCCAGCCCCGCTAGATCACCCACCTTGGGCCCCGGCAGAGGGCCTCAGGGAAGAGCTCTCAGAGTCTGAAGCCTGATCTCTGCCCGCCTTCAGCACACCCATCAGAGACACTGTGAGTGGAGAATAAAGCGCCGGGACCATGGCTCCTGGGACCCGGGAGCCTTTCCTTCCGTGCGCAGTCGTTCACACCGCTGGTCATCGTGGTCACAGACAGGCCTCAGCCACTGCTGAGATGACAGATTACTATTGAGGGCAAAGGGTGACGTGTGTACCGATAATGGCTGCCTATGGAGAGAGAGTGTGTGTTTACCTACCCGTTTCCTGCTTCCCCTCGTCTCCCTCCGTGCAGTGTAGGTAATGGTGTGTGCAGCGTTCGCGGGGTGCTTGGTGGGTGCCTGTGTCCCACCTTGCATGTGCTGCTCCCTCACACTTCCCTTTAATGCTCTCCATTATTCGGCTGCATTAATAATGTTTGCGGGCTGATATCTTTAAAATTAATGAGGTGTTTACTCTGAGCCAAGAAACTCATTGAAATTAAAAAAGCTTTCTTTTCTCCACTCCCTTTCCCTCGCTAAAAAAAGTGGACAAAAGAGCCACAATGCAGGCCTTGCTAAAACCAAGCAGAATAGGCAAGAACCCAGACCCCACCACTGGGAAGACACAAGTTGCGATCAGCCAGTGCCCAGGGTTTACATGGGCCAGGTTCACACGACAGCTGTCTCTAAGAGGTTCTAACTTAACAAGAGCTTTCCCTGAGAGCTGCAGACACCTTTCCACCAATGCAGGGGCACCTGTGCCCCCAATAACAGCTCCTTTCACAGCCACGATCCTTAACACGCAATTATCCATGGTAACCATAGCACCTTCGTCTAGTCTGAATTTTCCTTCTTATCCAAAAGGCTTGTTTCCAGGACAATTCATCTTGTGTATCCTGGTCTGTCTGTAGTCTCTATTTTTTAAAAAAATATATTTTATTGATTTTTTACAGAGAGGAAGGGAGAGAGACAGAGATCCAGAAACATCAATGAGAGAGAAACATTGATCAGCTGCCTCCTGCACATCCTCCACTGGGGATGCACCCGCAACCCAGGCACACGTCCCTGACCGGAATCCAACCCGGGACCCTCCAGTCCGCAGGCCAACGCTCTATCCACTGAGCCAAACCGGCTTTGGCTGTAGTCTCTATTTTTCAATGGAATCCCTTCCCTGCCATAAAGGAGGCCCCTCCTACCATTCCCCAAACTGCCACCACCACCGGCTGACTCCGTGCAGGAAAGCAGAACTGAATACTAACGGTGTGAGTGTCGGTTGCATGGACTTGCTTTGGCTCACACTCAGGATGGTTTGCCAGGAGGGCCAGGGAGGAGGGAATGGCTCTCTGGAGTGCAGAGCAGCAGGCTGCACTGTCCTGCACCCCCACCCTTACCTCCCTCCCCCGCAGCCCTGCTGTACAAATTTCTCTGTGAACAAGGCGGCCAAGAGCATTCAGGGCGGCCTGTCTGAGCAGTTTGGGTTTTCATCACACCCTCTTAGGGCAGTTGTTCTCTCTGATCCGGAAACCACCAGCAGTCTCTGCGGATCCTGCAGGATTTGTTAGCTAATCCCTCCAGATATTCAAGTTAATAATATGGTAATTTTATGCACCTGCACCTGGAATTCATTAATAATTTACTCAACTAAAAACAGGACAATAGCGCTGAAGAGGCCCTCTCTCCCAATTGGTTGTTGTGCGTGGGTTTTCTTTGGTTCCTCTCTGTAGGGATTGTAGGTGGCGGTGTTGGTGTGAACTAACAGGTCTGAGCGCCCGCTGTGGTGGCTCATGTCTCTGGAGTGTGAAAACCACTCTCTTTATAGTCACGTGGGGAATGGCTACAGCAGGAGCCCAGGGTCTGCGCCTGCCCCTCTGGCCTCTGAAGCGCTGAAAGCCAGTGGCCGTCTGGAGCCGGTTCAATCGGCTGTTCCCGAATGATAATGAGTGAGAATAAGCAACAGAGCAGAGACCCCTCCGCCCAGCAGAGAAGGCCAAAGAGTGCGGAGAAGTGGGCGGCGGCGACGGGAAGGGAAGGACCTACGTGAAACTGAATCTGTGCGAAATCTCCAGCGCTGCTCTGCAGGACGCTGTAGGCGGAGGACACAGAAAGAAGTTCCCACTCACTGTCATTCGAAAATGCTTTTCTGTCGTGCTTAACGTCTTCTCTGCTCCGCAGGAAGGCCAGGTCTACATCTTCCACTGAGAATAACAGAAACAGTGGGCACCCACACAAAATCCTTCCTTTTACTCCTGCCCGCCATGTCCAGCCTTATGGAGATGGAGTTGATATAACCGTGTTGAATTAGGGGTAGAGGTGTGGGATAAAATCTTTCTAGCCATGGAAAAAGCATCTATGAATTTAGGGCTTGGATCCCACTATCCATACAGTGATGGAGCTGCCCCTGTGACTTCTATGCCATTCCCAATGGCAGTAGAGGCCTAATATTGTATTCCCAAACAAAGAGCGGCAACTGGGCTGTGCGTCTGGGCCCAGCGCCGCACTTGGTCGGAATTACAGCAGGAGCCAAATCACGGCAGGAAGAAATTTAGGTCTGCAAGCAGTTAATTATGTGCAAGAATGAAATGGACCTGAAGAGTGGCATAATATCATTACGCCTGTGTGTGCCAACAAGCCAGCACAAGCATGTTCCCCCCGGGAAGGCTGTACCCCTCCTGGCTTACCTGTGTGCAGAATGCTGTTGAAGGTTAGGCTGCAATTCTGGATATCAAATGGAAAAGCGTATGTCTCTAAACTGCAGGCAGAGACCACCTGGATGGACTTAGAGTTCCTAACGGTCCCGGATGAGTTCACATACACATAGTGAAGTTCGGGTAGTCTTTCAATGTCCACACTGTATGAAACACAAGAGAATTTGTTGTTAGAGAGAGAGCTTTAGTCATTCCAATGCGCAGAAATGATTTGAGATGGTAGTGACGACGACACCCAGGACTAACCTAGAAGCGCAAGGACAGAGTCACTTTTCCCCAAGATGATTCACCCTAGCAAAGATGGATTCAGCAATGACACCTCATAAATTAACTCGCTACTGTTACGGTACAAACACACTCCATGAGTAACCTCAAGCATTATCAACCAAATCCATATCTTAAACCAGTGGTTCTCAACCTTCTGGCCCTTTAAGTACAGTTCTTCATGTTGTGACCCAACCATCAAATTATTTTCGTTGCTACTTCATAACTGTAATGTTGCTACTGTTATGAATCGTAATGTAAATACCTGAAATGCAGGATGGTCTTAGGCGGCCCCTGTGAAAGGGTCGTTCAACCGCCAAAGGGATTGTGA